GTGAGTCCTGGGCAAGGAAGGAATCCCCAGGATTCTTATACCTGTAACCTGGTGTTCCTCAGCCTCTTATCCTGTTATAGTTCTCTATAATCAGCACTTCAGTGATTTGCTTATTTCCTGTCTTTATTGTCTTTCCTAACTAGAATGCAAGCCCCATGAGGGCAGGGTCTTTGTGGGTGTGCTGTATAATTTTTATTCCCTGATGTATCTTAAGTTCCTCGAACAAATTTGTGGTGTATGCTCCCTAACATCAGTTGAATGAAAGAACCTGGTGGATGGGAATTCAGTGTTAGTTTAAAAAAACCCTTTAAAATAAGTTTGTTTTATTTTTAGAATCTTGTTACTTTTATCAATAAATATTGTATTAGTCCAGGTTTTCTAGAAACACACACACACACACAGAGAGAAAGAGATAGGAAGATAGACATAGAGATTTTATTTATTTTAAGGAATTGGCTCATGCAATCATGGGGTTGCCAAGTCCAAAATCTACAGGGCAGCCTGGCAGGTTGGCAGGCTGGAGACCTAGGAAAGAATTGATGCTTCAGTTTCATTCCAAAGGCAGTTTGCTGGTAGCATGTTCTCTTCTTCTGGAGAAGCCAGCTTTTTCCATTATGACCTTCAACTGATTGGATGGGGCCCACCCACATTATGGAGGGAAATCAGATTTACTTGAAGTCCACTGATCTAAACATAAATTTCATCTTGGGGCACCTGGGTGGCTCAGTGGTTGAGCATCTGCCTTTGGCTCAGGTCATGATCTTGGGGTCCTGGGAATGAGTCCTGCATCAGGCTCCCTGAGGGGAGCCTGCTCCTCCCTCTGCCTATCTATGTCTTCACCTCTCTCTCTGTGTCTCTCATGAATAAATAAAATTTTTTTAAATAAATGTAAATTTCATCTTTAAAATACCTGTGTAGATATATCTAGAATAATATATGAAGAAGTATCTGGGTACCATGGCCTAGCTAAGTTGACATATAATATTATCCATCACAAGTATCAATCTAATAATTTGTTTTAGAGCTGAAATGATCTCAGATAGGACCCCCTCATTCCATAGACCAAGAAATTGAGTCATTTTAGACAAATAACTGGCTTACCCAAAGTCACAAATGACTCACACAGTTCCCCAAGGCTCCTGAGTTCCTGAGTTGTTTTTCAACTGCAAGTACTACAAAAAGAAGCAGCTGCAAAATGGTGCTTCAGGTGTTTTGGTCTCTGTTTTGTATTGGGAAAAAGCTTTGGCACTTCAGAGTGTACAGAGCAATGGAAGCCATGCTCCAATCCTAAATAACTTCAGACATAGGACCTTATACAGTGGGGTTGTATGGTTTGGAAAGTTACCATCTGACCTAGATATTTACACTTGAATATGCATAATCTGAATCATGTAAGACTCAGTTTTATTGTCTTTAAAATGCAGTTTATATTTTCAGCCAAGCTGTAGTAGAGGTGTGCAATAGGGTAGGGGAGGGGTGGGCTATAATAGGGTGAAATAGGTTGGCTAAGAAGGGACCCATTGGCAAAGTAATGTTTGAGTGAGACTTAAAGAAGTGAGGGAGGATCTCTGGGGGCAGAGATCTAAGACAGAGGGAGACATTAAGTGAGGAGTGTACCTGGCCAGTGTGTCTGGAGCAGAATGGGTGACTGAATGATGGGGAGAGCAATAAGTACATGAGGTGTCATGGATCATTTTGAATTTTACTCTGATTTAAATGGAGAACCATTGGGGAGTTTTGAGCAAAGGAATGCCCTTAATATGACTTGGTTGAAAAAGAATTTCTTGGGGTGCCGGGGTGGCCCAATCACTTGAGTGCTCCACTATTGGTTTCTGGTCAGGTCATGATCTCAGGCTCCACATTGGGCTCTGCAGTCAGTATGGAGTCTACTTGAGATTCTCTCCCCCTCTTCTCTGTACCTCCCACTCATGCTCCCTCTCTTTCTAAAAGAAATAAAAACAAGTATTAAAAAAGAAGAATTTCTCTGGCAAGTTTGCATAGGAATCTGGGTTGGTGGGGGGCCAGAGTGGGGGAGGGTGTTGATGTAGGGAGACTAGTGGAGTTGGGAGACCACAGTAGTCATCGAGGTGAGATTATGGTGGTGCTGGTCATAGAGGGACTCATGAGAAGTGAACTGATTCTGAATGTGGCAGTTAGGAGCTCTGTATAGAGATCTGGGTTTCAGATAGAAATGTGGGTAGTGTAAATTTTCGTCCAATTTGGCTAAACACTTATTGGGCACTCTACCATTTGCTGGGCATTTAACCTAGACATTTTAGGTACAAATATTAAGAACACATGGTACCTCCTTCAGGGTTCTATAACTACTGGGGAAAGTAGACGTATTAATAAAAACTGAAATGTGTAACAAAAGTAGGTGTAAAGGCCCATGAGGATGCAGACACAAAGAAAAGTAACTAGTTCTTCCTCTGGGAAGAGCCACCAAGGATGTTAGAAACCAAACAATTGCCCTGGAACTGGAAGCTTAAGGAGAATTTCCCTATGTGGTCAAAGTGGGATATTCCAGGCAGAGGGAAAGGATGAGTAAGTGCGAATGCACTTTTCAGGAGGCAAATGTGCTTTGACATGCCTTAACTTGTAACAGATTAATCAATTTAAGACCTGATACACTTCCCCCCATAACTGCTATAGACCTATATATAGTCATCTATGAGATCAAGGGACCTTTACTCATGGGACTTAAAAATAAAGACTGCCCTCAGTGTAAGTTGCAAGGTTATATCTGGTTCCCTAATATTTCATATTAACCAGTGTGTCTTTGCCTGTTCTGTCCGTAGCACACTATTTTACCGAAGATGGAGCAGTAGCCAAAGCAGTCAGTCTACACTCCCCTGTCTCAGGGAATGAGGGCTACAGCTGAACCCAAAAGAAAAAAGAAGGCAATCCTTCTTTTATAGCATGGCCCTTAAATCATCTCAGGCCATAAACAATAGAACTTAGAAAATATTTTGTGAGTCCATCTGGCCCATCCTAGACCATATCAAGATTCTCTGGGCTGGAGGATGGGGGAAAGGGGATAAGAAGGCACAGAAAGGACATTAAGAGAGAATGTGATTGTGCCAGGTCTGATGGACCAACTTGGAAGGTCATCTCAGGCAAGAATGGAGTCAACACGCAAGGACTGTCTGGCTTCCAGTCCGGTCACTGTTGCCCTTCCAGCCAGCATGGCACGTACTGACCACCCAGCCGGCATTCCGCCTGCCTGGGCCCTAATCTTTCTCTCTGTGGCCAACTCCCATTTTAAAAACTCCAGACACCGAGAAGCACTCCCATTGCTCTAGCAAAGCCTGGAACCCCAGAAATCAAGGGACTGGGGAAGGATCCGAGGGAAAGAAAGCCTTCTTGTACTCAGGTGGGATAGAACAGGACCCGGTCAAGATCAACATCCATTAGACAGTGATGACACATACCCCTTCCAGAATCTTTCTTCCCCCTCCTCTCATTCTGTCTTTCTTTGCCTGGAGACAGTTGAGACGTTGAGCCACAGCTGAGACTCACAAAGGACTCTAAGGAACAGAATTTTCCACTTCTTCGATTCCTTTAAAAATAGGAGTAACTTAAAAAAATTTTTTAAAGTAGGCGTAACTTCTGTGACATCTGCTGCTTCAATCTTTGGCCCCGTGTTCTTGCCCTGACTCTTCCTGACTCTTGCCCTCCCTGGACTACTTGCCATGTCCCACTCACCATGTGCTACTCCCCACACCCTGGGGATCTTTTATTCCACTGCTAAGAATCTTGGTTTCTTTAGATTGTTGTTTAAACATTTCTCTCTGGTTATAAACTTGGCTTTTGCGTTTGCGACCCTGGTTTTTTTTTTTTTTTTGAGTCCTTTAGTAAGCTGAAGCTGTTAGATAAATGACATTACAACTGGCTGTCAGCAGTAACGTAAACAGTTAACAACATAGCATGACTGGCTGCTCCTTCAGATCTCACACAACCTGGAACTGGACTTTTGTACTTTCTGCTGAGAAAAGCATGGGGTGACGGGGAGTTGGGTGCTTTACAGAATGACATGCCTATGCGCAAGGCTGTGAACTTTCTGAAGCACTTTGACAACTTCCCCTCTCACTTTCTTTCCCTACGGTGGAACCAGGTGCACAGGCTCGGGCTGGACAGAGGAGCTGGGTCCTGCACAGGGCAGTTCAAAGGAATCCCCCAGGGCGCACACGAGGGCAGTCCTCAGGCTGCGGCCTGCGTCCGGACACCCTGCAGCCCTGTGCGGTGGCGTCGGGACCCAACGTCTCTTCTAACATGGCCTGTGTTTTCTGCAAATTACTTCACCTCTCTGTCTCTGTTTTCCAACCTCTAAAATAAGATCCTCTCCACTTTCAACGATCCTTTCAAACCCAGGGAGCAACAGTTCGGAAATTGGCTGCAGGGGGCAATGTTCGGTTGGCTAATCACGCTTTCCGAGCTGCCCCTCGCCCCCAGTTCCCGCAGAGAGTTCGCTTTTCTTTCCATCTGTTGACTGCACTTCTTGCTCTTTTAGGTCCTGCCTTCTTTTTGGGAACGGGGGTGGGCGGAGAGGCAGCGTCCTGCAACTACCAATATTTTCCTCTAGGAGGAGCCGCGCAGCGCAGCGGAGGGTGACACGCACCAACTCCGACTCCGTCGCGGGGATCGCCGCATCCCAGCTCCTCGGAATGCTCGGCCCGCGCGGCGCCCGGCGCCTCCGCCGCGGGTCTCGAACCGGCCGCCGCGAGCTCCCGCGGCCCCTCGCCGCCGCAGCCTGGGCGGCGGGGGCGGCGTGACCCCCGGTGCGCGGCGGCCGCTCCGCACCCAGCCCCTGCCGGCCTCCCTTCCCGTTTCACCCCGCCCCCTCCTCCTCCCCGAGCCTGACAGCCCGCGAGCTGCCAAGCGGGGCGCAGCCATGGGAAGAGGAGGCGGTCTAGGGAGCGGCGGCGGCGGCGGCTGGAGCGGCGGCGGCTGGAGCGGCGGCGGCGGCGGCGGCTGCTGAGCCGAGGCGGCGGCGGCGGCGGCGGCGGCGGCGGCGGCGGCGGCGGGGACCCCGGGCTGGGGCCACGCAGGCCGGAGGCCCCGCGCCCTCGGGCCCCGCGCGCGAGCGGACCGCGCTCTCAACCCGCAGGCGAGGCTCGGAGGTACGGAGGGGGCTCGGGGCTCGCGCTCTTCTTTGCCCCCCTTTGCCCGGGGCCCGGGGAGGGGACCCTGGGGGCACCGGCTGTTTAGGGAAGTGGCGTCCAGGCTTTTGTATTTACACGAATGATTTTTTTTTTTCCTCCCCGGGTGACTTGGGGGCTGGCCGTGCTCCCCTCCTCCCCCCCCCGGAGGAGTTGTTTTCCGCGGGTGGGTCGTTGCAACCCGATCCACGCTGGGGGCGTGCGAGCGTGTGTGGACGCCGCTGGTGGGCGTCGGGGAGTTGGGCCGGGGGCGCGCGCGCGGGGGCTTCCTCTGAAGCCAGGATTGTTAAAAAGTCGTAAAAGTTTTGCGAGTGTTGCTACTTGACATCACCGGCCGCGCTGGGGCCGGGACTGCGAGGCGCCCGCGGCCGAGGGGGACCCGGGAGAGCGGAGGTCGCCGGGCGGGCGCGTCCACACCGCGCGCCCCGGCCCGAGGCGCAGCGCCCCGTGCGCGTCCGTGCGGACCGCGGCCGCGGAGCCGGGGTGGTGGAGCCACGGCCGCCGGTCCCCGCGGGCTGCAGCGGTGGAGGTCGCGGCGAGCCGAGCACCCGCGTCCCCTCCAGCCCCCGACACCCTCGTGGTTACGAAACCAGCCGGGCTCCAAGTGTTGACCCAAGCGCCCGAGGCATGACCGCTGCGGGTGCGCGGGGTCGCGGCCGCTCCGGGGAGGTGCGGGGCACGGTCCCCCACCCGCGGGGCCTGACGGAGCCGATTTTGGGGGCGAGGGCTTTCCGGATCGCCGGAGTGGGGACGCCTCCTGGGCCGCGCCGAGGGCTGGTGACCTGGCCGGGGTGTGTGTGCTCGGTGGGTGTACGCGCGCGCGGGTGTGTGCGTGTGTGTGTGCGTGTGTGTGTGTGTGTGTGTGCGCGCCTGGGGAGGCGTGTCGTGCCTGAGCCAGTAGGGTGTGCGGGGGGGGGGGGGGGGGCGAGGTGCCGCCTGCCCGTTGGTGCGCCCGAGACCTTGGAAGGGACAGGGAGAGGTAACGGGAGGCCAGAGGGTTGGAAGCCGCGGGATTCCTGCGCAGGATTTAAATACCCCGGCCTTTAAACCACCACTAAACCCGGGGCCTTTGAGGAGCTGAGACCTGGAGGTGGCGGTTCCTGGAGCTCTCGAGAGACCCCATAGGAGGACGAGGGTTCTGAGTCCCGTGTGCATGTGTAGGTACAGAACTCTGGAGCCCAGACCCAAGCTGCAGCTGCGCATCTGAGATTCCCCGGGGTGCAACTGTGCACAGTCCCCAAACTAGGCGGTCTCTGGGGTGTTTACCCCTAAGAGTGAGTCCCTGTCATGTGTGCCTGGGCATGCACTCCCCTATTTCTTCATACAGGTTGCGGCAGCTGTGCTGTGTGCAGCTGGTGTTCTAGGCTAGTGTCTACCTGGGTCACCCCGCAAGTCCTTTTCTCTGGGGTGCCAAGGTGTATATACATAGACCTTGGAGATAATTAGTGTGAAATATTTTCCAAAAATTGCAGTGCTGCATAGGAACGAAATAAAATGATTTAGTAGACAGGGTTGTTGGTTCCATCTTTTCTGTGATTGGGGATTCTGTTTCCTTTTGAGAAAAGCTTGGTGTTCCCAGATTATATTTCTTTTTTTTTTTAAGATTTTTTTTTTGAAATTTATTTATTCATGAGAGAGAACAGAGAGAGAGAGGCAGAGGGAGAAGCAGGCTCCATGCAGGGAGCCCGATGCGGGACTCGATCCGGATCTCCAGGATCAGGCCTCAGGCCAAAGGCTGCGCTAAACCGCTGCACCACCCGGGCTGCCCCCAGATTATATTTCAAGGGGTCTCTGGTTATGTACCGTTTCTCTTCAAATGGACTTTAGATGGGGCTGGAAGGGTGCGTTTCCACCCAGAGACCCTTGGAAAACATCATTTGTAGTTTAAGCATGGCTCATCCCTTATCTCCTTCTACCCTTGGCAACTTTTTGGTAAGTCTAAGGAAAGTTGGTGAGTCAACATTCAGCTTTTTGTTTAGAGTAAATATGTCACAGTGAAATTATAGTTTTGGATCACCAAATGCAATGGAAAGCCAACACCTAATAGGCAGAAGTGTGAAATGAAAGTCTATAAATACAGTGACTCTCCGGTGCATTTTTTTTTTCAGACTGAGCATGCAAATATTTGTTCTAGGCAGAGTTTGGGGCTGTTTGTTTTTTTTTTTTTTTTTTTTTTTTTTGTTGTTAGTGTGTAAACAGGAGACTCCACATCATAAACCACTTAAAATGGATCCCAGGCATCTTCCCTGTGCTGTCTCTGGTGCTTGTGTTAACAGATGTTTACAGTGCTTGCTAACCTATGGGATCGTCATGTGGAGTATCTCATTAGGTCAGGACATAATGTTTATAGCATAGTGTAATAAATGGAGCCCCACTTGCAGCCTGCCTCTGCCAAGTGCATGAAACACCCCAGCATGGAAACAAATCTTGAAGTTGGTCCAACTTGGCGAGCCTCTTTGGCTATCTGCTGGTGAGCATTGTTAATGTAAAGATAAATATGAGTGATACAGTAAGAATGTGGCACAGCCAATTGTTTGACTTAAAAAAACAGGCGTGAGTTATATTGATTAAATTTGCAAACCTGAAGATTAAGCTTCTCCGGTCATTCCACTGGTAAATTGCACAGTGATGGAGACTTGGTTTAGTTTTAGAGGACAATTAAAAATATGTCAGTAATGAAAATAACTTAGTGTGTTCACATGTGTCCATAAAAGCCTTCACTTTTTTCAAAAGAAAAAAAAGAGAAAACCCTATAACCTCTGTGGTAATGATTTAAATAATATGAGATTTCAAATCATCTGATCTCTTTCTGAACATTGAGTTGATATGAATTGAAGTTTGGTAAGGCTTTGGAGTCAGCCCTCTCTCTGCTCGTTGTGTAAACAGAGCAATGTAGGCTGTTTTGGCAAGTGATTTTTTTTTTTTACCTTGAACAGTATGATGTTAATAACATGCCCAGTAAAATGATTGATGAGTATAGTAACCAACTTCAGAGGTACCTATCAGGGGTGTGAACTTCCACCTCAGTAGTCCTTTCTGTAAATGGGCCAGCCCACCTCTTCTTGAAAATAATCAGCTGGGAATCTTGCTTCCTTGCTGGCTGGCCCATTTGAGGAGAGGTTCATTTTTAAAAAGTTCTGCTCTGTACTAAGTCAACATTTTCTTCTACCTATTGACCTACTGTTCAGTTGCTGGAGCGACACACAATGAATCTAATCTCTCTTCCCTTTAAGTGCTATATTTGAAAACAAACATTATGCCCCTTCTTCCTGAATTTTTTTTTTTTTTTTTTTTGCTTATCCTTACACCTCTTCTCACCCACAGTGGGGTCCCCACCCTTCCCTGCCCTGACAATATGCCCCAGAGTCCACATTCACGATACCCTGATTTGTCATTATGTTTGTCATCTAAAACTCAGGTATGGGTATACCTGGGTGGCTCAGTGGTTGAACTTCTGCCTTCAGCTCAGGGCATGAACCTGGGATCCTGGGATCAAGTCCTGCATCAGGCTCCCTACAGGGAGCTTGCTTCTCCCTCTGCCTGTGTCTCTGCCCCCTGTCTGTATCTCTCCTGAATAAATAAATCAAATCTTAAAAAAAACAAAAAACAAACTAAAACTCAGATGTGAAATCCCTAGTTCTGGTCTTTCTGCCTCCATTAAGGCAGCTTAATATTCATGAGCTATGTTAGTCATCTGTTTACACTGTCCACTAATTTCAGAGCTGTAAACAAGATAACAACTTACTCTTTTTAGATTATTAGTCATCCATAATCAGAACATTATAATCGTTTCAAAACAGTTTTTATGTTAACTGTACTTGATTAACAACAGAAAATGTTCTCCGTTCCTGAATTTCCTGTAACTCCACATGTGTCATACTGTGTAGGTACACACAATTCTACATGGAATGATCATAGCTACTTAATTTCTCCCGGTCAAAGGAATACTAAGCCAAAAAAAAAAAATACCAGAATGTTCTGAAGACAAGCAGATTGAAGTTGCATATCATAGATGGGGGTAGGGACTCTGAGGTATTCTTTTCCTGGATCTTATTGTGTTGCTTCCACAAGCATGAGTCAGTTCTAGCTATCAGGCTCATTCTATCCGAGTCTCAAAGAGTATGCCATCTGGCCCTAAATCAGGTGAAAGTACGTCTGACAGACATGCTTCCTCAGGCAACTGCAACTTAAGATGTACATCAGGACATGGCTGAGTCAACAACCCATTCTTCTCCTGGAGGTCAATGGCTTATAATGTGGCAGAGAAGTCAAAAGCAGGTATATCACTGTGCCAGTTCTAGGAGAGGTTCCTGTCTCCTGTTGTGTGTCTGGATCCAAGTTAGACCAAGGCTCTGAGGGTCTTCACTGACCAAGTTCTAGCCGCCTTGGAGGAAAGAAGCAAAGCTGGTATGTACCAGGGGAGGAGGCGTGGATCAAGGGTAAGCTCTTTGGGGCCCATTGGACCTAGCCTGAATTTGAGCTTTACCACCAGCATGCAGATAGATTAGCTCCTCTGAGACTCACTTTTCTCCTCCGTGAAAATTATGATGCTTAACACCCAGGGCTGAGGTATTTAACACAACTTGTGTAGCATTTATGGCCTGTGCTGCTCATTAGACACCTGCCCGATCCAATTGATTTCCCTTTTATGTATCTGTCTGGGGCTTCCCAGCTAAGTTATGTTTCCCCTGCTACCAGCTGAGAATCTGCCACAGCTGAGAATCTCCTGTCTTCTTGCAAGAAATGTTTATGGTTGTTGATGATGACAGTGTTGTTTTTCTCAGCAAGTCTGAGTGTGAAAGAAATAACCATTTTTCTTGGCAAAGAGAAAACAACCAACCTGTGATAATGGACTGACATCTGGGCCTATCAGAAGGTCCTACTTTGCACATTGACCTTTAGCCAGAACAAGGGGCCAGTGACAGTCTGTGTTCTTTGGTGAAATTGTTCGTGCTGTGCCC